TGAATTCTTGGTTGGTGAGCGGACCCCAGACCTCACAACCATTTTAGCCAGATCCTAATTGGTATGTCGAATTTTATGTTCCTTTTGATGGCATAGATGGCCCTTGCCTTGTCTCTCAGATCGTTCACAGCTTTGTGAAAGTTACCTGTGGCGCTGATGTTTAGGCCGAGGTATGTATCGTTTTTTGTGTGCTCTAGGGCAACGGTGTCTAGATGGAATTTGTATTTGTGGTCCTGGCAACTGGACCTTTTTGGAACACCATTATTTTTGTCTCAGATTTACTGTCAGGGCCCAGGTCTGACAGAATCTGTGCATACGATCTAGGTGCTGCTGTAGGCCTTCCTTGGTTGGGGACAGAAGAACCAGATCATCAGCAAACCGTAGACATTTGACTTCAGATTCTAGTAGGGTGAGGCCGGGTGCTGCAGACTGTTCTAGTGCCCTCACCAATTTGTTGATATATATGTTGAAGAGGGTGGAGCTTAAGCTGCATCCCTGTCTCACCCTGCCCTGTGGAAAGAAATGTGTGTGTTTTTTGCCAATTTTTACTGCACACTTGTTGTTTGTGTACATGGATTTTATGATGTCGTATGTTTTTCCCCCAACACCACTTTCCATCAATTTGTATAACAGACCCTCATGCCAAATTGAGTCAAAAGCTTTTTTGAAATCAACAAAGCATGAGAAGACATTGCCTTTGTTTTGGTTTGTTTGTTTGTCAATTAGGGTGTGCAGGGTGAATATGTGGTCTGTCGTACAGTAATTTGGTAAAAAGCCAATTTGACATTTGCTCAGTACATTGTTTTCACTGAGGAAATGTATGAGTCTGCTGTTAATGATAATGCAGAGGATTTTCCCAATTTTGCTGTTGACGCATATCCCATTGTAGTTATTGGGGTCAAATATGTCTCCACTTTTTTGGATTGGGGTGATCAGTCCTTGGTTCCAAATATTGGGGAAGATGCCAGAGATAAGGATGATGTTAACGAGTTTAAGTATAGCCAATTGGAATTTGTGGTCTGTATATTTTATCATTTCATTGAGGATACCATCAACACCACAGGCCTTTTGGGGTTGGAAGGTTTGTATTTTGTCCTGTAGTTCTTTCAATGTAATTGGAGAATCCAGTGGGTTCTGGTAGCCTTTAATAGTTGATTCTAAGATTTGTATTTGATCATGTATATGTTTTTGCTGTTTGTTCTTTGTTATAGAGCCAAAAAGATTGGAGAAGAGGTTTACCCATATCTCAGTATTGGATAGATAACTCTTCGTGTTGTTGTTTGTTTAGTGTTTTCCAATTTTCCCTGAAGTGGTTAGTCTATGGATTCTTCAATTACATTGAGCTGATTTCTGACGTGCTGTTCCTTATTGTTTTAGTGATTCACCATAGTGAAGGCGTACACTCAGGTTTTCTGGGTCTCTATGTTTTTCGTCGGATAGGATTCTCAATTTCTTTCTTAGGTTTTTGCATTCTTCATCAAACCATTTGTCATTGTTGTTAATTTTCTTTGGTTTTCTGATTTGATATTGAAGCTGAGAGGTCAAATAAACTGTTTAGGTTTTCTACTGCCAAGTTTGCACCTTCACTATTACAGTGAAACTTTTTGTCCAGGAAGTTGTCTAAAAGGTATTGAATTTGTTGTTGCTTAATTGTTTTTTGGTAGGTTTCCACACTACTTTCCTTCCATCTATAGCATATCTTAATATTATTCAATTCCTTTGGCTTTGATGCCTCATGATTGAGTATTGCTCTGTTCAAGTAGACTGTGATTTTGCTGTGATCTGATAGGGGTGTCAGTAGGCTGACTGTGAATGCTCTGAGAGACTCTGGGTTGAGGTCAGTGATAAAGTAGTCTACAGTACTACTGCCAAGAGATGAGCTATAGGTGTACCTACCATAGGAGTCCCCTCCAAGCCTACCATTGACTATGTACATACCCAGCGTGCGACAGAGCTGCAGGAGTTGTGACCTGTTTTTGTTAGTTATGTTGTCGTAGTTGTGCCTAGGGGGGCATTCGTAGTTGTGCCTAGGGGGGCATTTGTCCCCATGTGTGCTGAGGGTGTCAGGTTCTTGTCCAGTTCTGGCATTTAGGTCGCCACAGACTAGTACATGTCCCTGGGCCTGGAAATGATTGATTTCCCCCTCCAGGATGGAGAAGCTGTCTTCATTAAAGTATGGGGACTCTAGTGGGGGGATATAGGTAGCACACAGGAGGACATTTTTCAATGTTGAGATCATTTACTTTTGAATTTCTAGCCAAATGTAAAATGTTCCTGTTTTGATGAATTAAATAGAGTGATTAAGGTCTGCTCTATACGAAATTAGCATACCTCCTGAGTCCCTTCCCTGTTTCACACCTGGTAGTTTGGTGAATGGGACTACCAGCTCTCTGTAACCTAGAGGGCAACCAGTGGGTCCATCTCCTCTATACCATGTTTCTTGTAGGATGACAATGTCTGTATTTCTGATTTCTTTGGTGGTGAAGTCCAGGTTCCTGCTCTTTTGGCCAAAGGCGGATGACCTCAGGCCTTGGATATTCCAGGATGAGATACTGAAGGCTTTGTGCTCCATAAAGTGTCCAATGTTGTTAGTCGTGTGGTTTGGCCTCAGTGCTTGGGCTAGTGTAAGAGTGGGGGTTGGGCCTGTTTGCCTGCTCACGGCCTCTCGCTCTCTCTCTCTCTCTCGCTCTTAGTTAGGCATAAATCTGTTCTGATTGAAGAGGGCTTTTATTGACCAGGATTCTCCATCCAGCTCTGTATCTACTGTTATGGGTACATTCAGGCTTGACCAGTACTGTTTAAACTGTTTATACAAAATCTTTACAATGTATTGTGTCCTTTTAACTATTTTTGACGATGCATGATCAATTGTAACTGATCATCGCAATATGTAGGATGCAGTGTGTGTGTGTGTGTGTTTCTAATGAACCTCCAATGTGTAAGGTTCTATTTTCTTAATTCTACCCTGAGCTTTAAAATGCAGTGATTACTCATATCTATAATTACCAGAACCTCTGTGTGTGTGCGTGTGTGTGTGCGTGCGTGTGTGTGTTTTCTCTTGTTGAAGCACTGGACTGATAAGTTAAATTGGCAGGCTAATCACTTTAACAAAGTACGACTTATAACAGACTAGGGGTAACCCACATACACTCTTCAGTGTGTGTCTCATCATCAAAAAAGCACAATTAAACACTGACGTCAATGAATCACATAAAGCCTTTTATTGAGTTATCTCGTCACAAAACAATTTATGGGTGAAAAAGGTTTCTTAAAGTTTTTGCATGGCTCTTTATAAACTCTGTTTTTATCTCTGGCTGTGGGTAGACATGCTAGCAGGACAGTGACTGCATCACAACGCTGGGTACAAAACACACCACTTCTTAACATCACATTCACACACAGGCTCCAATACGTACCATACCATTACCAGAACCTAGTCTCATATATGTACCGCAGATCTACTGTATGTGTTTCTAGAAACTCTAGAACCTAATGTATGTACAACACTCCATCCAACACACTGAAATATACACAAATCCCTTATTAAAACCTCGTTCAATGGTTGAGCGTGCTACACGTGTCTTTACCATTGAAAGATAACACACATGTAGTATGCTCATATATTCCATCATATAAAAACAATAACATAGGACATCTGAGGAGAAGTTGAGATGTATGGCATGTATCAATATTAGCCAGGTTGATAATCTCATTCACATCAGGCAACGCTTATACAGATTATAGAACATAACATTGTAGACCATGTAACATGCACAAAACTGCACTTATAGTAGTCATATCAGGCGGTGATAAATATTGGATAAATATTGACTGTTTCATCCATGAGATATTTACTGGCATTATGCATTGAAGTAGATTTTATAATGAAAAGCCCCTTCTGTAGTGTTCACTAGCTTTGGTCCTCATCTTGGTAGCAACCTCTCCCAAAACACAGTGTGTAGTTTTGGATAACAAAAATAATAAGAAATAGCATTATACCTTCACAATAGAAAGTCATGGTCAACTTTGATAATATCCCTCTGCATGACAACAGATACAGATAATCAGGTCGGTATGTCAGTATGTTTTCAAGTTCATCTTTCTATAATAACTAGGTAATACGTTTTTTTCAGGACATTTAGGAAAGTAATTTAGCTGACTGAAGGATCCTGTCTTAGACATAGCTCCCTGCCGAGGGAACAGAGAGTTAAGCTAGTACTAACCCCGAACCACGGGAAGCAGATCAAACAACAAACTTCAATTTCCATTTTAAAGCCCTATTTCCCTATTTTCCCTCTCCCTCCCTCTTTTCCCACTCTTTCCCTCTCTTTTAATCTTTTATTCACTTTCCCTTCTTACCCCTCCCTGTGTGGGACGAGTGCTGCTGTTCAGGAGTAAATCTGTGTGATGTGTTAAGTGGCTCTGACCCTATTCCTGGTCACAGGGGATGGTTCAATTCCTTATTTTATCAGTGTCCCCCTCGCACCACCCTTAATTACTGATACTTAATTACTTCCCCTGTTTGAGATCAATTAGTGTAACACACACACACACACACACTAGTACACACACATTAGTGTACACACACGGTAGCACGCTCACATGCACAGACACTGTGATTCCAGCAAAAACTCCCTGGCAACAGCAGCAAGGGGAAAAGGCAACACTGTATGTTTACCTTGATATCAGAGAGGTACAAGGATTGCCAAATTATCCATTAAGTCGTTTCATTTTTGTTGGCTGGAACACATTAACGAGAGGACAGGACAAGGAGGGGTGGAGAGGAGGAGAGGGGAGGGGAACGGAAATAAGGGAAAACTGAAAACAGTGGTGGAGACATGAACAAATTGAACAAAGGAAATGCAGAAGAGGAGAGCAGATGATTGATTGAGGTGGATAGTTAGATGTATTTTGAACAGAGGATAGTATCAGGGAAAGAGAGGTATCATTCAGTTAGTTCTGCCTATTCTGTTTTTCTTGTTTGTGATGTAACCTGCTGTTCACACTTCCATGCTGTCCGTCTTGGGTGTCTTGGAGATCCAGAGCGTTGATTGGTGGTTAACACTGGTTTTGGTCATTGGTTTGCTTTATGAAATAAAAACAGTGAAAACGAAATGAACAATAGTAGAACAAAACTAAATTAGAATAGTAACCACAGATGAATCGTAAAACAAAACTGTGTGTGCGTTTACGTGTGTGGTTGCGTGTGTGTGTGCAAATGTAAAACACGACAGCCGTTGCTCACACAAACACTTCTGTGCCAGCCATACGCAGTGATACAAACTCTGGCTCCTTGCCTGTCATAACACCTCATAACTCATATTTCCTCAGATCGCGTTTGTCGTGTTGTAAATTCAAGTGTGTCGCCTGTTGTAAAGGAGGGACCTCGCACGCGTTAGGGTCATGGTTAGAAGGGATCAAACTTTTGTCAAATGAACGTCAGATTTGACTTTTCGTACAGGTTAGGAACATTTACAAAGCAGGTTAGGAGAATTAACGTAGCAGGTTAGGATAATTAATGTAGCAGGTTAGGAGAATTAGGTTAAATGCAAAACATTTCAACTTTTGACATTAATTTGACAAAAGCTCGATCCCTTCTAGCCGCATTAGGGATTTGGGTGCATTCCAGGAAGCATTTTACTGTGGCAGGTGGGAGTCAGAGGCGTGATTAACTGGTCTCTGTCTGGGGACGCCCCCTCAGTTCCCCAGCTATCGGAAATATGTTAAAAACCAGTGATGGAAAAAGTACCCAATTGCCATACTTGAGTAAAAGTAAAGATACCTAAATAGAAAATGACTCAAGTAAAAGTGAAAGTCACCCAGTAAAATACTAATAATAATAATATGCCATTTAGCAGACGCATTTATCCAAAGAGACTTACAGTCATGCGTGCATACATTTTTACATATGGGTGGTCCCAGGGATCGAACCCACTACCCTGGCGTTACAAGCGCCATGCTCTACCAATTGAGCTACAGTAAAATACTACTTGAAAAAATTTCTAAAAGTATTTGGTTTAAATATACTTAAGTATCAAAAGTAAAATTATAAATCATTTCAAATTCCTTATATTAAGCAAACCAGATGGCACCATTTTCTTGTTTTAATTTACGGATAGCCAGACATAATTTACAAGTATTTGTGTTTAGTGAGTCCGCAAGATCAGAGGCAATAGGGATCACCAAGGATGTTCTCTTGATAAGTGTGTGAATTAGACAATTTTCCTGTCCTGCTAAGCATTCAGAACGTAACAAGTACTTTTGGGTGTAAAAAAAACACAAAACTTTTGGACGTAATGAAGTAAAAAGAAAGTTGGCAAAAATATAAATAGTAAAGTATAGATACCCCAAAAAATGACTGAAGTAGTACTTTAAGTACTTTTACTTAAGTACTTTACACCACTGTTAAATACACATCACTCAGACGGACGGCGATACTAAACTGGATAAATAAAACAAACAAAGTTGCTGCCCAATCAAGACAGAGGAGAGTTGGGAGTGTGTGTATATACAGTGCATTCGGAAAGTGTTCAGACCCCTTGACTTTTTCCACATTTTGTTACGTTACAGCCTTGTTCTAAAATTGATTAAATTGTTTTTTTCCCCCTCATCAATCGACACACAATACCCCATAATGATAAGGAAAAAACATGTTAGTAGACATTTTTGAAAGAAATAAACAATACAAAAACGGAAATATCACATTTACATAAGTATTCAGACCCTTTACTCAGTACTTTGTTGAAGGACCTTTGGCAGCGACTACAAGCTTGGCACACCTGTATTTGGGGAGTTTCTCCCATTCTTCTCTGCAGATCCTCTCAAGCTCTGTCAGGTTGGATGGGGAGCATTGCTGCACAGCTATTTTCAGGACTTTCCAGAGATCTTCGATCGGGTTCAAGTCCGGGTTCTGGCTGGGCCACTCAAGGACATTCAGAGACTTGTCCCAAAGCCAGTCCTGTGTTGTCAAGGCTGTGTGTTTAGGGTTGTTGTCCTGTTGGAAGGTGAACCTTCACCCCAGTCTGAGGTTCTGAGCACTCTGGAGCAGGTTTTCATCAAGGATCTCTCTGTACTTTGCTCCGTTCATTTTTCCCTCGACTCCCAGTCCCTGCCACTGAAAAACATCCCTACAGCATGATGCTGCCACCACCATGCTTCACCGTAGGGATGGTGTCAGGTTTCCTCCAGACATGACGCTTGGCATTCAGGCCAAAGAGTTCAATCTTGGTTTCATCAGACCAGAGAATCTTGTTTCTCATGGTCTGAGAGTCTTTAGGTGCCTTTTGGTAAACTCCAAGCGGGCTGTCATGTGCCTTTTACTGAGGAGTGGCTTCTGTCTGGCCACTCTACCATAAAGGCCTGATTGGTGGAGTGTTGCAGAGATGGTTGTCCTTCTGGAAGTGTCTCCCACCTCCACAGAGGAACTCTGGAACTCTGTCAGAGTGACCAATGGGTTCTTGGTCACCTCCCTGACCAAGGCCCTTCTCCCCCGATTGCTCAGTTTGGCCGGGCGGCCAGCTCTAGGAAGAGTCTTGGTGGTTCCAAACTTCTTCCATTTAAGAATAATGGAGGCCAATGTGTTCTTGGGGACGTTCAATTTTACAGACATGTTTTGGTACCCTTCACCAGATCTGTGCCTCGACACAATCCTGTCTCGGACCCCTACGGACAATTCCTTCGACCTCATGGCTTGGTTTTTGCTCTGACATGCACTGTCAACTGTGGGACCTTACATAGACTGGTGTGTGCCTTTCCAAATGATTTCTAATCAAATGCATGTACCACAGGTGGACTCCAAACAAGTTGTAGAAACATCTCAAGGATGATCAATGGAAACAGGATGCACCTGAGCTAAATTTTGAGTCTCATATTAAAGGGTCTGAATACTTATGTAAATAAGGTATTTCTGTTTTTTATTTTTAATAAATTAGCTAAAATTTCACTTTGTCATTATGGGGTATTGCGTGTAGATTGATGAGGGAAACAACATTATTTAATCCATTTTAGAATAAGGCTGTAACGTTACAAAGTGGAAAAAGTTAAGGGGTCTGAATACTTTCTGAATGCACTGTAAGAAATATAAAGTCACAGTACCGGGGTAGGGGGGTTGGTTTGGCTTTATACAATGAGCTGGAGTTGCACTTTGGTTATTGTGAGAATGCCATCAAGGGGTCCAGCTATCGACCCAGAAATCACAGACTTCGTTATCCTATCTGTTGCCAGAGTAGGGTAACACACACACTGCCTACACACACTCACAATAATAATTAATGACAGCGGACTGAGCCAGTGGCCAGCGCTGTTATGCTAAATTACTCTTTGCTAACAAGGCGTCCCTGCGTTATTCCAGTGATTATGACTGAGTAAGCACTGTTCTTACCAAACAATTACAGCCCAGACCCATCCATCACAGCACAGGGACGGGAGATTGGACCCATCCATTAGGGGGGGGGGGGGGGGTTCAGAGATTGAGCTGTTTCTCTGATTCATTTTTGAGTATGCCAATTAAAGGAATTTTAAAAAGAGAGTTGATGGGAGTGTATGTGTGATTGAAAATGAGAGAAAGAGGAGTATATTAGAGAATATTATATGATTGGTTTGTATGAGTATCATAGATTTATATTTTAGTGAAGTTGTTATCAGTAAGGCAGTCCTGGGGACTCTGGGGACTTAGTGTGTTCAGTTGTGTTGTACCATAGGGAGTTGTAGTTTTTGTTGTTGCAGTGGTGTGCCTTGTCTCACCTCTTACTAAACATCTGGAAACAGCAAGTCCCAGAAGCCACCAGGATGAGCAGCAGCAGAGGGATGGTGGGGATGATTACATAGACCAGCAGCATACCTGCAGAAGGAGGATAGAGCAGAGATGGAGCACCAGACTGGCTATTTCAGTAATTACACTCTATTTAGTAATTACACTCATACCTTCCATATCATCGCTACTCCACGTCTCACCTTCTGGAGTCCTGCCATACCATTTAACTGTCTCACCTCCCTGTCTCACCTCTACCTGTCTCCCTCCTCCTGTCTCACCTCCACCTGTCTCACCTCCACCTCTCACCTGAGGATCCAGCTATGACTACGTGTGGGGCGTCGTCCTCACTGGGTCCGGATTGTTTGACCTCATCTGTCTGCACCACCGTCACATCTGGGACAGGCAGACAAAGATACTAAAGCAAAAAGGGATATACTAACTGATACCCTCATGCAGTCAACCAAGCTGACCTCCAGGAGAGGAGATGATGTGGCTGGGGTATGCCCCAGTGTGTTCCTACTCACCTGGGTCACGAGCTCCAGGCCTGTCCCCCTGCTCCTTCACCAGACGGCTCTCTGGATCAACATCAGAATCAGAAAAAACTTGATTAAACAAAACTGATATGCATTTCTGTTAGTGTAATGTTGTACCAGGCTAAAACAAAATGTGGATATCACGAAGTTGGGAGAAAACGGGGGGTAAAAAATAAATAATCATAAAAAATATATTTAAAACACTTTAAAAAGGGAAACGTATATAGAACACTACACAAAACACACAGAACTCATCTTATCTGCCGTGACGTTTGCGTACCTGTGTGATGCTTCGTACCTGGTTCGTACTTGCAGATGAAGTTGTGCTTCATGTTGCACCTGTCATCGTTCCACTGGTACATGTAGGCCCCGCCCAGCCCGTGTAGAGCTGTAGGCTGGTGGTACATCACTACACACGCCTCCCCTCCGCACGACGGCTCGTCAAAATACCAGTTCCTAACACACACACACACACAATAATACACACATACAAATTAAAACAAAGACATACACACACGCCTCACCAAAGTACCAGTTGCTGTGTGAAACATACACACCTGAACTGGGACACACTCCCGTCGGTCCAGCGGTAGAGGTCAGGACAGGAGGCGAAGCCGCCGTTTTCCTGTGTGCTTTCTCCTTCTGTCCTCATCAGCCCGATCCAGAAATCACCGTCTGCTATTCCTCCATTACCGGTACCTGCTCCTACCCCTGTTTCTGTCCCCGCTCCTGTTGAGGAGGTCCGAAGCTCCTGTAAGAAATCATATATATATATTGTAAGTATATTATAAGTAAATAAGAAATATATTTACATGTTCATGATTGGAGGACTTTGAGGAGGTGTTTTTGGTGTTGTTTGTACTGTCACACACACACACACACACAGACACACACACACGCGCAAACACACACTGACCTGTAGCAGGTGTTCTATGTGGCTCTGCTCTGCAGCGCTCTCTATGCTCAGCAGCGACCCTCCGTCTATCTCACACGTATGGCTGGCCTCCCAGAATGCAACACGGCTGGTCATGCCTCGGAAGTAGGCGATCTTATAGCATGGATGCTCCTCCCCTCCCTGACACACCGTCTGACCTGGAGGCGCAGGAGGTCATCAATCTATCTATTGATTGCAAATAGGGCTGGCACAATTACCTTCTAACCGTGCAACCTACTCATTCAAGGGTTTTTCTTAATTTTTTACTATTTCCTACATTGTAAAATAATAGTGAACACATTACAACTATGAAATAACACATACAGTTGAAGTCGGAAGTTTACATACACTTAGGTTGGAGTCATTAAAACTCGTTTTTCAACCACTCCACAAATTTCTTGTTAACAAACTATAGTTTTGGCAAGTCGGTTAGGACATCTACTTTGTGCATGACACAAGTAATTTTTCCAACAATTGTTTACAGACAGATTATTTCACTTATAATTCACTGTATCACAATTACAGTGGGTCAGAAGTTTACATACACTAAGTTGACTGTACCTTTAAACAGCTTGGAAAATTTGAGAAAATTATGTCATGGCTTTAGACGCTTCTGATAGGCTAATTGACATCATTCGAGTCAATTGGAGGTGTACCTGTGGATGTATTTCAAGGCCTACCTTCAAACTCAGTGCCTCTTTGCTTGACATCATGGGAAAATCAAAAGAAATCAGCCAAGACCTCCGAAAATTTTTGTAGACCTGCAGAAGTCTGGTTAATCCTTGGGAGCAATTTCCAAACGCCTGACGGTACCGCGTTAATCTGTACAAACAATAGTACGCAAGTATAAACACCATGGGATCACGCAGCCGTCATACCGCTCAGGAAGGAGACGCGTTGTGTCTCCTAGAGATGAACGTACTTTGGTGCGAAAAGTGCAAATCAATCCCAGAACAACAGCAAAGGACCTTGTGAAGATGCTGGAGGAAACAGGTACAAAAGTATCTATATCCACAGTGAAATGAGTCCTATATCGACATAACCTGAAAGGCCGCTCAGCAAGGAAGAAGCCACTGCTCCAAAACTGCCATTAAAAAAGCCAGACTACGGTTTGCAACTGCACATGGGGAAAATTATGTGGATATATTGAAGCAACATCTCAAGATATCAGTCAGGAAGTTAAAGCTTGGTCGCAAATGGGTCTTCCAAATGGACAATGACCCCAAGCACACTTCCAAAGTTGTGGCAAAATGGTTTAGGGACAACAAAGTCAAGGTATTGGAGTGGCCATCACAAAGCCCTGACCTCAATCCTATAGAAAATGTGTGGGCAGAACTGAAAAAGCATGTGCAAGCAAGGAGGCCTACAAACCTGACTCAGTTACACCAGCTCTGTTAGGAGGAATGGGCCAAATTTCACCCAACTTATTGTGGGAAGCTTGTGGAAGGCTACCCGAAACGTTTGACCCAAGTTAAACAATTTAAAGGCAATGCTACCAAATACTAATTGAGTGTATGTAAACTTCTGACCCACTGGGAATGTGATGAAAGAAATAAAAGCTGAAATAAATCATTCTCTCTACTATTATTCTGACATTTCATATTCTTAAAATAAAGTGGTGATCCTAACTGACCTAAAACAGGGAATTTTTACTAGGATTAAATGTCAGGAATTGTGAAAAACTGAGTTTAAATGTATTTGGCTAAGGTGTATGTAAACTTCCGACTTCAACTGTATGGTATCATGTAGGAACCAAAAAAGTGTTCAACAAATCAAAATATATTTTATATTTGAGATTCTTCAAAGTAGCCACCCTTTGCCCTGATGACAGCTTTGCACACTCTTAGCATACTTTCAACCAGCTCCATGAGGTAGTCACCTGGAATGCATTTCAATTAACAGGTGTGCCTTGTTCAAAGTTAATTTGTGGAATTTCTTTCCTTCTTAATGCGTTTGCGCCAATCAGTTGTGTTGTGACAAGGTAGGGTTGGTATACAGAAGATAGCCCTATTTGGTAAAAGACCAAGTCCATATTATAGCAAGAACAGTTCAAATAAGCAAAGAGAAACGACAGGCCATCATTACTTTAAGACATGATGGTCAGTCAATATGCAAAATGTCAAGAATTTAGAACGTTTCTTCAAGTGCAGTCGCAAAAACACATCAAGCGCTATGATGAAACTGGCTCTCATGAGGACAGCCACAGGAAAGTGCTACAGAGGATAAGTTCATTAGAGTTACCAGCCTCAGAAATCGGCAATTAACTGCACCTCAGATTGCAGCCCAAATAAATGCTTCAAAGAGTTAAAGTAACAGACACATCTCAACATCAACTGTTCAGAGGAGACTGCGTGAATCAGGCCTTCATGGTCGAATTGCTGCAAATGAACCACTACTAAAGGACACCAATAATAAGAGAGACTTGCTTGGGCCATTCTGCAGCGATATGCCATCCCATCTGGTTTGCACTTAGTCCCACTATCATTTGTTTTTCAACAGAACAATGACTCAAAACACACCTCCATGCTGTGTAAGGGCTATTTGACCAAGAAGGAGAGTGATGGAGCGCTGCATCAGATGACATGGCCTCCACAAACACCCGACCTCAACCCAATTGAGATGGTTTGGGATGAGTTGGACCGCAGAGTGAAGGAAAAGCAGCCAACAAGTGCTCAGCATATGTGGGAACTCCTTCAAGACTGTTGGAAAAGCATTCCAGGTGACTACCTCATGAAACTGGTTGAGAGAATGCCAAGAGTGTGCCAAGCTTTCATCAAGGCAAAGGGTGGCTACTTTGAAGAATCAAATATAAAATATATTTTGATTTGTTGAACACTTTTTTGGTTACTACATGATTCCATATGTGTTATTTCATAGTTTTGATGTCTTCACTATTATTCTACAATGTAGAAAACAGTTAATATAAAGAAAAACCCTTGAATGAGTAGGTGTGTCCAAACCTCTGAATGGTACTGTACATAAAAAAAAGGTCTCTATAAATCCATTTAAAATAGCCTACACCATCACAATAAATCCATTATTTATTTTAGACAGGTCCAAAGAAACATGATATGAAGAAAATGTTGTCTATTTCAGATGAACAGAATAGCATACTCTGAGTTGTCCTTATGTTAGGCCCTGATCTGGCTATGCCATATGGCTGTGGGCTACACTAGTTAATTTAGCAAACAAGATTTGCTTAGAATTCCGTGGCATTATTTTATATTATTTTATAGTATGAAGAATACAATTGAACATAGCTGAATAAAATAGAGTGCGCACATGCGGCTATTCTGTGTTGAGCGGTTAACAAAGAAACAGGTCCTCCTATATGCTTAATTTAGAGTTATTTATGCAACTTTAGTTCTGATACAAACTTTGGGCTATATGTTTAGATTTTTAATACATTCTAAGGCTGCATGATGCGACTCTAATGATGATTTGAAAAAAGTAACATGAAAGGCATGAGCGCTGCTTAGTTTTTTGCGCAGGCTGCACACACTTCATCAGTCTCTCATTCACAATTTGACAAGCACTTGGTAATGCCTCAAATTTCCCGGGAGCATCCCCTTTGTGTGGCCGTAATGCCCCCTAAAAAAATCCATGCCTTTTGCGGGCAGTGGCTGTTGTGCCCTTGAGCTGAATATAATAAATATAATTTCCTTCTCCCGGCTGCGAGCTCCGAAGCACCTCTCACTCACATGGCTCTCTCAGATATCTCAATTCTTATTAGCCAATGCCCGTCACGTGATCAGGGTCCTTCTCACAGACTACAAGTGAAGACAGACACATTGGGGACGCAACTGCGCGCATCCTTATCCAATTCTGAGGCGCATATTGAAGATGTTGGAAGAACTGTTCACATTTACTTTTCGTCAGCCAACAAGATGAGTAGGCCTAACGAACAGCAAAAGCACTAGCCTATGTCAATCTACTATCCCCCGTAGTCCAAAAGTTGACCTATTCTATTCTGTGCGAGAAATAAATATTCCAAGCATAGTCTGGGACAGTTGTGGGATGCGATTGATCCCAAATTAATACAACCACTAGCATCAAAACAACTTTTAAAAGCAATGAGGCTGATGCAACAGATCAGAAATGTTATCTTAAAATGTTCATAAACTATTAGGCTATTTCTTCACATTATAAGTGCAGCAATGCGCACACAGCAGTAGGCTATAAGCGCAAATGTTCCAAAATGCAATAAATTAGCGGGAAAACCCCAATCTCAAAAGTGACCGCAAATGCGATTATGCATGTAAGGCTTATAAAGGTGTATTTTCATGGTGAAAATGATCTTCCCCAAACTTGAAACCAGTTAGGCTCTACACCCGTTGTAAAGCGGGTTGATGTGCTTCATTTTAAGAAGTTATTTGGCCACTTTAGTTGTGATACAAACCTTTTCCAAACATATAGGCCTATGGGCTGAGGTGTGCGACTATGATTTGAAAAGGTCGGGGGGGAAAAGGGATGCGCTGTTTCCTTACTGCACACAAGCTGGGCATCATTGACAAGTGATATTATATCATTCACAAGTGATTGGCCAATATTGTCACCCATCAGACTACTCTTGATTTAATCTTGTCTTTACATGTACTAAATAATATATGTGTGAAATTAGTTTTGATTTAGAATGGACCACTATCATGCACCTGTCTCGAAACAGGGGCAGGGGGAAAAAATGCATGTAATCTTTGCACTTAAATAGCGAATGGAGGATGCTTTTCCTGTGGTTTATTTTCATGCCAGCCAGGTAGGTTATACTCCTGTTGTAAAGAGAAGCAATGTGAAAGTTGAGAAATAAATATAGTAGGCCTAGCCTATAGAAAGCTGATGTGATCCTCCTATTTTTAATAGAGGACATCAAAACTCTGTTTTCTCACGCAATTGCATAGCCTATAGAAATGTTGCGCAACATGAGCTCATGAGCTCATGAGCTCTCATTAAGTGTATAGAGTGCTGAGTACCAGGCAGCAGAATGTTCATTCAAATGATGTTAACTGATGTGGCACATGCAATGGAATGTATTTTTTGTAATGTTAGTTGAGTTGAATCAACAAATCATAGCATATTGATGGGTACATTTCCTGCTTTTACTTCCTGCTTTTACTTCCTGCTCTGCTCCACGCAATGGCCACCAGTCCACTCATTATGCCATTATTGACTTGAATGGGGACGCCCATTCTATTCATTCTATTTCTATGGCAGCACATGCAGTCAGGAGCAGATGAGAGCAGAAAATGTGCATCTTAAAAAAATAAGTATATGGTTATTACAGTGACCGCGGTCATTTGGCTGGCCACTTACCGTCATCCAAAATTCCATGACCATCACAGCCCTAATTGTAAGTAGACCATTTTACATAAGGATTGATAAATTCATCAATGGACTATTCTGTCAAATCTATCTGTGTCAGTTGTATGCAATATGAGTCAATTTAGGCATCTACTGTATGCCAGGAATCTCTCGTGGACAGACTACGTAACATAAATGGTAGTAATTTACGTGAGATTTTCGGTTCTTGTTTGCTGAGATCAGTATGCCAGTAATACAGTCAATGCCATCAAGCAATGGTTCCACAACCGTTTCAAAATCAAGTTACTCCCTTGTTCTCTACTCATTCCTGTGGCCGTGGCTGTTAGTCTTTTCCTCCCTCCCTCCATCTATCTGACAAACCATCTATCAACTAATCAGTGATCAGTAAATCCACCAGACTACTGTATCTACACCCAATCAGCCCCTCCGCCGGTCAGTACATCCATCAACCAGTCAACAAATTAACCAACCCACCTGTCAATCAACCAGTCAACAAATCAACCAACCCACCTGTCAATCAACCACCTCACTGAACAACTAATTTATCAATCAGTCAATCAGTTAATATTAGTGAATTTCATATATCAGGAGAACTACACCTCAGTGACTCTCTGTTGACCTTAAGAAGTGGTTTCATTGTCTTAATCAAATGCAAACCTCCATTGAACTTATCAGTTGTACACAACCCCTCGACCCCCACCCACACACACACCCTTAACGACTTTTGGCTTCCGGCCAAAAGGATGTGGTCATCGCATTCCCATCCTCTCAGTCCCTTAGAATTTACCGTCAAACTTTCCTAGCGTGGTCAATATCCTCTGTCAATCAGGAAGTGACTCTAGCTAACTGACTGTAGTAACAGGGCTGCTAATCACTCTGTAGGCTGGAGGCCCATTTTCAGAACAGCCTTGTTACCGCTCACAAACACACTTTTACTGGATGTTTTCACACTCATAACTGATATGACATTTACAGTAAGCAGCAGTCATGCTGTACTGTACCTATACTGTCGGACACACCCACAAACACAGAGTAGACACACCCACAAACACAGAGTAGACACACCCACAAACACAGAATAGACACACCCACAAACACAGAGTAGACACACCCACAAACGCAGAGTAGACACACCCACAAACACAGAGTAACACACCCACAAAAACAGAGTAGACACACCCACAAACACAGAGTAGACACATGCACTTTCACAAGCATGCACACACACGTACACACACACATATAATCACACACATGCAGCACACAATCTCCAGCATTATAAAGCTGTACTCTATGATGGCAGTTAAATGGGTGAAAAGTGGCGGATCTGGCCCAGATTCTGGACAGACTCATAAAAACCAGAGAGGTCAGCCTCACAGTGTGTGTGTATACGCTAATGTGTGTGTGTGTGTGAGCGTGTATGCATGCGTGCATCAGTGAATAATACCAGTGTTTAATACACAGCCAGTTAAAGAGGCCTAATAATAACATTAGCAGTGTGGCCAGGAGGTACTTTAAATTATTGCCTGCCTGGTCTAGATCAGATCTGCACTATCATCACTTTGGAACCCAGTAATGGTACCGGGGCGCACAGACGACCAACACACTCAGCATTTTCACCTCCTTTCTCTCTTTCTTCCTCTCTTCGTTCTTTCCCTCCATCCATCCTGCCTTCTTCCTGGTCGGACACCTCAAAATTATTATTTTCAACCCAAAGCGTCATCGTCTTTCCTTTCTCCCTTTATTATTTTCCTTTCTTTCTTCCTCTCTCGCTCTCTCTCCTTTATTAATTTGTTCCCTTTATCCTGCCTCCTCTGCTCTGATTTCTCAAATCCAAATGTTCATCAGTTCTTCGCTCTCTTTTCCCCTCAAACGTTCTCTTATCTATTTTCCTCTAACAGCCTCATTTGCTCTTCCTTCACCCACCTTCACCTCTTCTTCAGTTTCTCTCCTTCATCCCTCTTCCTCATCCCCCCTTTTCATCCTCTGCACTTTCCCTATGTTGGAACATAAACCCATCTCTCTCACTGATTCTCCCTCTGTCTCTTTGTCTTCTCCCCCTCTGTGCCATTTGCAGCTGATTTAATCTAAATCACACAGTAGGGACATTTTAGGTTAGAGAGGGGCATATCTCACCCCTAATGAAATAAAAGTTGTCCACTCTCCCCTCACTCTCTCCATCTGTCATCTGTCTGACTATAAGACTCTCTCTCTCTCGCTTCGCTCTCTCTCCACAGTATGTAACAGATTTGAATGCAAACGTGTTAAGTCAGCTGCCTGCCCTATAACACTGACAGCCCTGACACATGTAGAATAGCAGTCTGCTGTAAATCATAGATATTCATACATTTAGAGTCACAGAGGGAAGGAACAGTAAATAGACTCAATCTTTACATCCCCAATAACTACCAGTCAATAAAACCAATAAATCCAGTTCCCAGTGTAAACAAACTCTAACAGGCTCACACACATTCATACACATGTATGAAAGCAAGCACACACCTCATAATCTGTAACTGTAGCAATGCAATAACAGCAAAACTGCAGCAGTTTACATCTAATTACATTTTTGACGTGACTAATTGAAGGAATAGAAAACATGATTCCATGTGGAGAAAATGTTTTTTTTTGTCTCAGATAACCTAATCTTATAGATTGATTTACATTTTCCAATCCTAACTTAATTCACAAATGTCCATCTAATTCTAATGATGATGATGGTGGTTATAATGATGATGATGATGATGATGATGATGATGATGATGATGATGATGATGATGATGGTGATGGTGATGATGAGCTATAGGCTTATAACTTTAACATAGTCACAAAAGGTAAAATTTTACTGGTAGTTTAGGAGTTGACATTATTGTTTGAAAACATAAGTAAAGGAATTGTTATTAGATTATTCTTATCTTGAAGATAACAGAAATACAACCAATATTCAAATGTTATTCTTTTATAACACTTAATTGTTTTATACGATCATTGAAAGTAGACCTATATGTGAAAAACGGACTATAAAAGTTATTACATCATCAACTTACCACTGACAACTCGTGCGCCGTGACCGCTCGAGGCCATGACCATCACTCCCCATAGAACTCTCAGGATATTCTGCTCCGCGCGCTTCTTCGAGGATTTCATACTTGACAGAGAAAAAGTCAGGGCTTTGAAATAAAATTGTATTGTAAAAAAAATAAAATGCTCCTTCGCTCACATCAGAGTCTATTGGCAGTTTTCTCCGGTCTCTGCTGTTGTCATGGTTTCCCCCCAAATTTCAGAGTCTAATGGGATTCGTGCAGGCTCCCTCGCACGCTCGAGGACCGAACAATGTTCTAAGCACGGGGGCAAGCCTCATGCAGACAGCCCACCAGAGAGAGTAAAAGAGTGAAAGACAGTTTATTGATCCCCCTCCCTTTCCTTCTCTCTTGGCTGAGTCCCTCTGCTACTGATCGACCACACCGGGCCACAGCTGTCACCTCACGCCTCCACCTACTATTTAATTAGCCTCGTGACACGTGCATCGCACCCCTCCCCAATCTATATGTGCGAAATCCATTTTTGGCATGCTTGAGATTAGATGGATCATAATTGCACGAACACTTTAAACAAATGCCTCATGCTATAAACTAATATTAGGATTAAGCTACAATAAGGTTATAGGCTATGCTACATTTGAGAGAGTCCAGTTCCAGGGGGTTAATCCAGCATGCTGTGCCATAAAGGTTCAGAACTCTTGGCAGGTACTCTGACACAGAGGGAGGCTACATTTTATATATATTAGCTGTCCCTGCCTGGGGTCACCACAGTAGCCACCTGGGATTTAAATGTAGCATTTTGACATGTCCCTCAGTCAATCCTGTCACTTCTAGGAAGATTTCAACCCACTAAATCCAGAAACGTCTCCAAGTTTCACCATCATTGTCAAGCCCTAGTTATTTTGTTGCTTTGACAAAGTCATTTCTGAAGATTATTATTAATTTCATGTGATTTGAGATTCATTTACACTACTGGTCAAAAGTTTTCGAACACCTACTCATTCTTGTGTTTTTCTTTATTTGTACTATTTTCTACATTGTAGAATAATAATGAAGACATCAAAACTATGAAATAACACATATGGAATCATGTAGTAACCAAAAAAGTGTTAAACAAATCAAAATATATTTTATATTTGAGATTCTTCAAATAGCCACCCTTTGCATTGATGACAGCTTTCCACACTTGGCATTCTCTCAACCAGCTTCATGAGGTAGTCAACTGGAATGCATTTCAATTAACAGGTGTGCCTTCTTAAAAGTTAATTTGTGGAATTACTTTCCTTCTTTATGCGTTTGAGCCAATCAGTTGTGTTGTGACAAGGTAGGGGGGGTATACAGAAGATAGCCCTATTTGGTAAAATACCAAGTCCATATTATGGCACGAACAACTCAAATAAGCAAAGAGAAACAACAGTCCATCATTACTTTAAGACATGAAGGTCAGTCAATACGGAACATTTCAAGAACTTTGAATGTTTCTTCAAGTGAGTCGCAAAAACCATCAAGCGCTATGATGAAACTGTCTCTCATGAGGACCGCCACAGGAATGGAAGACCCAGAGTTACCACTGCTGCAGAGGATAAGTTCATTAGAGTTACCAGCCTCAGAAATTGCAGCCCAAATAAATGCTTCACAGAGTTCAAGTAACAGACACATCTCAACATCAACTGTTCAGGGGATACTGTGTGAATCAGGCCTTCATGGTCGAATTGCTGCAAAGAAACCACTACTAAAGGACACAAATAATAAGAAGAGACTTGCTTGGGCCAAGAAACACGAGCAATGGACATTAGACTGGTGGAAATGTGTCCTTTGGTCTGGAGTCCAAATTGGAGATTTTTGGTTCCAACCGCCGTGTCTTTGTGAGACGCGATGTGGGTGAACGGATGATCTCTGCATGTGTATTTCACACCGTAAAGCATGGAGGAGGAGGTGTTATGGTGTGGGGGGTGCTTTGCTGGTGACACTGTCTGTGATTTATTTAGAATTCAAGGCACACTTAACCAGCATGGCTACCACAGCATTCTGCAGCGATATGCCATCTCATCTGGTTTGGGCTTAGTGGGACTATCATTTGTTTTTCAACAGGACAATGACCCAACACACCTCCAGGCTGTGTAAGGGCTATTTTACCAAGAAGGAGTGATGGAGTGCTGCATCAGATGACCTGGCCTCCACAATCCCACTGACCTCAACCAAATTGAGATGATTTGGGATGAGTCGGACCGCAGAGTGAAGGAAAAGCAGCCAACAAGTGCTCAGCATATGTGGGAACTCCTTCAAGACTGTTGGAAAAGCATTCCAGGTGAAGCTGGTTGAGAGAATGCCAAGAGTGTGCAAAGCTGTCATCAAGGCAAAGGGTGGCTATTTGAAGAATGTTAAATATAAAATATATTTTGATTTGCTTAACACTTTTTTGGTTACTACATGATTCCATATGTGTTATTTCATAGTTTTGATGTCTTCACTATTATTCTACAATGTAGAAAATAGTAAAAATAAAGAAAAACCCTTGAATGAGTAGGTGTTCTAAAACATTTGACCGGTAGTGTACATCTGTCCCTCATTTTAAGGTCAACTCTGTTAAGTGAATTGAACTCTTGTTTTAATAGAGCGAAGCTATTCCTTATAAAATATAGTTTTAAAGAAACATTGAACATCTAATAGTCAAATCATGGTGTAAAAGCAGATGAGCTGGTTCTACTCTTCTTGAACATTTTCTGGTGTTTTGTGGTGGAAATCTGAGCGGGTCGAGCATAACACGTCAACCCTGTTATCCGTAGATAGACTGGCTAGAAATGTTTTAGCAATAAAAAAAATTGTATGAAGCTTGCATTCAATTGTCACTCCCTGTTGCACACAACAAGCTTCCATTCCCCCTGTCACAAGGTGATTTATTGCTGATTGAAGATGAAATCATCAACCCTGTTACGGTCAACCCTCTTACTATATTTTAATTTTTTATTTAATAACCTCTTGAGATGGGAAACATGTTTTTTATTAAGTTATAAGTGCTCTTTATGACAATGTTAAAATTAGGTGAAATCTGAAAAAAATCTCCTACAATTTCATATAGTTATAATGATAGCCAATTACATTGTCTGGCAGACAGGCCCTCTCTCTCTGTGTTGTATTGATCTGGTCACTATAGCGATATGGAGCCAGGCTATTATGGCCCTCTGCTGTTAAACACGCTGTAATATGCATCGACACAAAATATGCAATTACTTAATTCACTGTTAGCCATTGATCAGTTATACCCCCATCCCTCCTCTCCTCCTCTCTCTATTCATCCCTCCTTCCGCTCCATCCTCCCTCCCTCCATTCCAACCTCCTCTTCGGTAAATGGGTAAATGCAATTGGGGTTTTCTGGTCGGTTGGGAGGTGTTCGATAACGACACTAAGATATCCTCTGACACATTATCGATAAAGTGGCCAGAGCGTTATTACAGCTGCTGCTGCCATCATCATCATGTTCATCATCATCATCAAGAGCCAAGATTAAACATGAACTGTCAGGAAATGAGAATAGACAAGAAAGATAGAAAATAAGAAAGAAAGCGAGAGAGAGGGTTTGTGAGAGAGGGAGAGAGGGAAACAGAGAGAGAGAGAAAGAGAGAGTGAGAGAGAGAGAGAGAGTGAGAGAGAGAGAGAGAGAAAAAGAGTGAGGGATAGAGAAGAAAGGAAATGTGGGGTAATCATAAAAAAGACGGAGGATGGAGCTGAGTTTGAGTGCCATCGGGCAGAGGAAAGGGCCAGCTTGCAGAAAAGTGAGTAGGCAGTAACTGGGGCAGCTGAATCGGGTCCTGCTGAGGCGGCAGTCTGAATGGACACGGGTGGCGGCCAATCCCAGAACATCATCATCATTAATGTCATCAATGTCCTCCTGCTCTTCATCATCTTCCTCTTCATCATAGTAGTCATTCTGCTGTGAAAGCATGTGTGGACATACAGTATATGGGTCAGAAATGGTGGTTGTCTTGGCTGCTTTTTCTCTCTCTCTCTCTCTCTCTCTCTCTCTCTCTCTCTCCTTTCTCCCCTCTCTCTCTCCTCTCCCGTCTTCTCTCTCTCTTCTCTCTCTCCATCTCTCCTCTCCATCTCGTCGCTTCTCCATCTTCTCTCTCTCGCCTTCTCTCTCTCTCTCTCTCTCCTCTCTCTCTCATCTAGTGTCATCCCCCTGCCCGGTCCTAACTACTATAGTTTTAACTGTACCATTTCATCAGCCTTTCTATGTTCACTTGTTTAAAAGCTTGTCCTGTCTCTTTTATCCATTTTATTCCTCCCCAACCAGCACTTACGAGCCATAAGAGTTGTACGGATGTACCATTTCAAAGCCTTTTATGTATTGCGTTTAAAGGTTCGTCTCCTTAGGACAGTTTTATTGCCCCTAAACCCCACTCAGAGACTTTGACGGATCCAACAAATCTCGTTAGGTAAGAGGGGTAACGTCTGAGGGTAGGCTGCACCCCTTCTAAAGAGGCCTCGCCACCTGAGGGCGGTCTGAACTAATGACCGTTGGCATTGACCTCTTGAAAACAGTATGTACACACACACACACCGCGACCTGGAGGAGATCAATTTAAGACAGATTTACTAAACGGGAAACTACTGTATGGAAAGAAAACTAGCGCTTCTAAAAGGCACATAGGATACAATATCTTCGAAGATGATATATGGTATTGTTAAACTGGTATGGGGGTCCATTTAGCAATGGTTGATGCCTATACACTGTGTCTTGGTGATGAGAAATAAAAAAATTGCACAAGAATCAATATATGAAATTGGAAATCAATACAAAAATGTACTCCAGCTCAGTGAAATGCATTGATTTCCATGGCTGTCATGTTGAGGGTAGAAAAGCAAAAATATGCCATTCTTGCCTTTCCATTGTATTTCAGGCAGTGGCCAAGACCCCATATAATGGATTGCATTTACAAAGCACTTCAGATTGTAAAAAAAGGGAGTGCCTTCACCCCTTAAAGTTTGACTTATCACAAAACACCTATTTGATTGAACAGAGCCCTACTGTAAATGTGTCTGTTCTACACTACTTTGTCTGTATTGACAAGCGGTTTCTCAAGATAAATAGGCCTTACTTCCTCTATTTACCCACTTCATCCATCCCTCCATCTATTTTTTCCCAGAGAAACGGAAGCAACGGAAGCCTCTAAGCACTCACGAGGGAATCATCCAGAATGGCCTGCAATTCAGTCTGTGAAAAGTGACAGGGTGAGAGAAAGATGAGAGCAGCAGTGCGTGGGTAAAATCACTGGGGAACCCTAGCCAGAAAAAAAGCCATATTACAACCTATGTGTTGTGATAATTGCGTTATTTGCTCTATAACCTGCTAGTTCATATCCCTTGCCACCGTGATATACAGTTCAAGTCGGAAGTTTACATACACTTAGGTTGGAGTCATTAAAACTCGGTTTTTCAACCACTCCACAAATTTCATGTTAACAAACTATAGTTTTGGCAAGTCAGTTAGGACATCTACTTTGTGCATGACACAAGTAATTTTTCCAACAATTGTTTACAGACAGATTATTTCACTTATAATTCACTGTATCACAATTCCAGTGGGTCAGAAGTTTACATACACTAAGTTGATTGTGCCTTTAAACAGCATGGAAAATTCCAGAAAATGATGTCATGGCTTTAGAAGCTTCTGATAGGCTAATTGACATCATTTGAGTCAATTGGAGGTGTACCTGTGGATGTATTTCAAGGCCTACCTTCAAACTCAGTGCCTCTTTGCTTGACATCATGGGAAAATCAAAAGAAATCAGCCAAGACCTCAGAAAAAAAATTGTAGACCTCCACAAGTCTGGTTCATCCTTGGGAGCAATTTCCAAACGCCTGAAGGTACCATGTTCATCTGTACAAACAATAGTATGCAAGTATAAACACCATGGGACCATGCAGCCATCATACCGCTCAGGAAGGAGACGCGTTGTGTCTCCTAGAGATGAACGTACTTTGTTGCAAAAAGTGCAAATCAATCCCAGAACAACAGCAAAGGACCTTGTGAAGATGCTGGAGGAAACCGGTACAAAAGTATCTATATCCACAGTAAAACGAGTCCTATATCGACATAACCTGAAAGGCCGCACAGCAAGGAAGAAGCCACTGCTCCAAAACCGCCATAAAAAAGCCAGACTACGGTTTGCAACTGCACATGGGGACAAAGATCTTACTTTTTGGAGAAATGTCCTCTGGTCTGATAAAACAAAAATAGAACTGTTTGGCCATAATGAAAATTGTTATGTTTGGAGGAAAAAGGGGGTTGCTTGCAAGCCGAAGAACACCATCCTAACCGTGAAGCACGGGGGTGGCAGCATCATGCTGTGGGGGTGCTTTGCTGCAGGAGGGACTGGTGCACTTCACAAAATAGATGGCATCATGAGGAAGGAAAATGTTGTGGATATATTGAAACAACATCTCAAGACATCAGTCAGGAAGTTAAAGCTTGGTCGCAAATGGGTCTTCCAAATGGACAACGACCCCAAGCATACTTCCAAAGTTGTGGCAAAATGGCTAAAGGACAACAAAGTCAAGGTATTGGAGTGGCCATCACAAAGCCCTGACCTCAATCCTTTAGAAAATTTGTGGGCAGAACTGAAAAAGCGTGTGCGAGCAAGGAGGCCTACAAACCTGACTCAGTTACACCAGCTCTGTCAGGAGGAATGGGCCAACATTCACCCAACTTATTGTGGGAAGCTTGTGGAAAGCTACCCAAAACGTTTGACCCAAGTTAAACAATTTAAAGGCAATGCTACCAAATACTAATTGAGTGTATGTAAACTTCTGACCCACTGGGAATGTGATGAAAGAAATAAAAGCTGAAATCACTCTCTGCTATTATTCTGACATTTCACATTACTGAGTTTAAATGTATTTGGTGTATGTAAACTTCCGACTTCAACTGTACAGGCCTAAGGTCGAGATAATAAGAAGACACATTGGCAGAATAAATTCAAAGAAAACAGGAGCTGCCTTCATTATTCCAGCACCATTTCAACTTCAACATTTCAACATCATCAAATAATCTATGCTTAGTCTAATACAGTGACAACTAAAAGATACCAAAAACAATTTAGTCCAATCAACATAAGATAAATATGATGTGGCTGTCTATGGTTCTGATTTGTGTGTGTGTGTGTGTGTGCGTGCGTTCGTGCAAGTAGAAAAAAACATGTTGACTCACCCTACTTGTAGAGAAACACAAATGCCATCCTCCTCTCTTTCATGTTGACAAAATGGTCTATGACTCTGTCATACAGTACAAGCTTTTATTTTTTTGTGTCCTAGGCTACCTGGCTAAAATGCTTGCTCGCTAACCTAACTTACTTACATGGGCAACGTTAGCTAGTTAACATTAGCCTTCTACATCTAGCTACATATTGAACTTCCATCCTCTCAGTCCAGGGGCACAATGTATGAATTTATGGTTGGATCAGAATCGCCGTTATAATCATTGGCCAATACGGAGAATTAAGTAAAACCACAAGTAAAAATCCCTATCTCCATCCATGGCTAATTTAGGAAAGGGGCAATTTTAGCTAGCTAGCTACACACCGGAGGACAACAACACAATGAGATGCAACAATTCAAGTTGTTTCTGTCAATGACATATTGCTCTCGATGAGATGCAATTGGAGTGAAGCCAAATCCAAACTGGCTTCTCTTGACACTGTTTTTTGGTGCAACAGGACCATTCACAATTCACTCCTCTCACTCCCTTGACCCCTACCCTTCCTCCTCAAAACCTCCTCCTCCCCTCGTTCTCTCCTCTCAAACTAAATCCTCTTCCACTGCATTTGTGTATTCACCCCTTAACTGAACCCTCTCCCCCTCTGTGACCCGTATCGTGTTCACATCATAACCTACTTACTGAGGTGTTGTTACTGCAGGTTCATATAGTATTTCATAAGAGAATGTGATAGCAGGTTTAAGTGTTCTTTAATCAAAGTTTCACACATGGTAGTAAGGATGGATGGACTGTAGGAATGAACAGGGCGGTAGCAGTGAGGGATGACTGCAGGGGCGGTGTGTTCATTAGGGCGATATGGGCGACGCACTGCCAAACGGGAAAAGGAAGCGATTTTTTTTCTAATCAATTATATCACGGCAACAGTAGTTATCAGTGTTCTAATCTAGACGTCTGATCTGCCACTAAATGTCCAATCAGGCTAAAGTCGTGCTTCAAATGGCCCCGCCCCCTTTGGGGCGATTTCAGTCAGGTTGAAAATCGCCCAGAAGTCTCTCATAGCCTGTCATGTAAAATCTTTTTTTTTCAAATATCAGAGCTTTCAATACAATCTCTATGGGTTTCTGAGGGCTTGCACTTACGCGCTTTCGTCATACGTAACATAACCATGAACGTAACTAAGAAAAGAGCGGGTAGCAGCGTCAATCAATTCACGTACTACTATCAAGATGGCTAGCCTTCAGTGCAACTCGATTGTCTCTTTGAAAGAAGTTCACATCAAAGACCATTCAAAACGAGCTACTGTAACTGGAGTGTATGCTAGCGGTCATGAGGGAACATATTGTGGAGGAGGTGAAGTCGGCGAACTTCGTATCTATCCAAGCTGACGAGACCACGGACGTTTCTACACAGATACAGCTGGTGCTTGTGCTGAGGTACATAGATAGCAACCGCAAAGTGCAGGAGCGCTTTTTTGAGTTCCTTCCCATCTCGGAATCAACCTCAGTCTCAATCGCCAGTGTGCTTTTGGAGAGACTGAACAGTCTTTTTGCCATTCAATGGGCCAGGAACGTCTGAATGCACTGGCCATGCTTTCCATGGAGAGTGAACTAGTCCTCAGCATGCCTGATTTCAAAGAGAAAGTCATTGACCGCTTTGCTGCATTGAAAGAGAGAAGAGAACAGTTTCAGTACAAGTAATGTAGCCTCTCTCTCTCTTTGTCCCTCCCT